AAAAAAAAAAAGTGCCAATAAGTAAATTTCCTTATTTTTTTCTTAAAGTGAATGAGCAGGAATGTCTCCATTCCTGCTCCATTCCATGGGATCTAAGGTCAGGGGACAACCCCCACCCCAAAAATGCCATTGCTTTGCTGGGGGCAGGACTGTACCACAGAGGGGCCCGAGACCAGGGACCAGGCTGCAGGTGGGGAGGCCTCCATTTTGCCTGGGAAATGAGCCCCTGACCACTCAGTGACTCAGTGGAACCATGTTTGCTAAAAATGCTTTCCTTCATTGACCCCTTCGCAAGTCTGATCTGATGTTTCCTTTGCCTCGAGTGACCTGCCCCTGCCCCTAACTATTTACATGAAGGAGAAAGGAAGGGAGAAAAGAGTCATTAACCGTGGTTAGGAATAGACAGTAGAGAAATCATCTTATCCCGGAAAGAGTGCTGGAGATTGCTTGTACAATGTGAAAGGACTTGAAGCTACTGAAGTTGGAGTGTTGAAGATGGTAAATTGTATGTTATGTGTACTTCACTACAATTTAAAAAAGAATCCTCTCACCCTGGCCCTGCCTCTGGTTGCAATCTCACCCAGAAGTGCCGAGGTGCAGGAATCCTTTATGCTCCGAGTTCCAGTGAGTGGGAAGGGATTCTCCCTGAAGACCCAGAATGGTCCTTCGTGTTTCTGCACGGCTCTGGCCGTGGTTCGTTATGTGCTGTGTCGTCCTGCCAGTCCGTAAATGGGATCCTGTTCATCGGTGTCAGGAATCTAGGTCCCTGCCCCACACCTCACTTGGTTCAGGCATTCTTGGATGAATCTGGATACATGAATCTCACCAAAATCTGCTTTTTAAAGTAAGAACCTCTGGCTAAATTTAGCTGCATTTTCTGGGCCAGCTCTACAAAATGGCATCTCTTTAAAAGATTTCCAGCTTGAGGATTCTTTCCCTCAGGGGCAGCGATAATATCTGTTGTTAAGTCGGGATGAATCGTCGGCGGTGGACGACTCTTAGCCGCTGCGGAGGCTGGAGGCTGTGGCTTCGGTCGGCTCTGTGTAGCTCTGGACTGTTCTGTACCACTGTTTGTTGTGTTCACATTTTCCATTTTATTTCCAGTGACACATTCAGGGTGAAAAGGTCTCCAAAACGGTCTCCTCTCTCTGATCCACCCTCTCAGGTACAGTGTTCCCTTGAAATGTATGATTTTATCACTCACCCAAGCAGCTAAAGCCCATGCGCTTTGATTCCCTGCTAGTCAACCAGAGCTGTCTTTTCTGCTCATCACGGGCACGTTTCCGGCATCCTTTTTTGCCTCCTACGTGGGGGCTCCCTTGCTGTTTGCCAGATATCGTTTTGATCCCTTCCCTTTGGGAGAGATCAGAGTGTGTCCCCAGAGTAGAAAGATAGATGTTCAGCAGAAGTGTTGTGTGGGTTCTGTGGGAATCATGCTGATCCATTCTGGCCAGTTCATCTGCTGAGAACTTCTATGAATACTAAACTGAGAAAGTCCTTGGAGGTAAATGAATATATAGTGAGAAAGAACTGAATGTCAAGAGCACTGGATTATGTAACCAAAATCCAAGTGGGGAGAGAAAGGAAATCACGCCCTAAGAAGTGAGGTTTGGGCCCTTTCCCCTCTAACTAGTTCCTTTATGAGATCTACACCATGACAGACCAAGGAGGGTTGGCCTCGGGCGTGTATGCCAGGCTCCCATCTGAGCCAGCGATGCCCTAGCCAGCAGACCGTAGTCGGGCTGGGCTGCCCAGAAAGGCACCCCGCCCCGGGAGAGGGGTCTGGTGACCCAGTCCCAGCTCTGCTCTAACACTTCTGGGCACCCCACCCCCCCTGCCCCTGCCCTACTCAGCTGCTCCCCCTCTGTGCAAATCCTCCAGGGACAGGCATGCAGATCGACAGGCGATATTGATGAGATCGGTTCACAGGCCCTGAAGCACTGTGTGGGCATAACACAGTAGTTGCAGTAATAAAAGTGCCAATAAGTAAATTTCCTTATTTTTTCTTAAAGTGAATGAGCAGGAATGTCTCCAATAAGCCGGACACAAAATCCGGATTTTTTTTTTTTTAAACCCACGCTCACCGCCCCCCCCTCCCCCCCAAAAACAAGCCATCAGGAAGGAAATGCACGAATTCAGAGAGGAAGGAATTTGCCTCCTTGGGACCGTTTTGAGCAGGGTCCGAGGACCTGCTGAGGAGCTGGATAGGGACCTGCCCTGGTTAGAGGGGCCCCAGACTCAGGTGGGCGGGTGCCGTTGGGGACGCAGAGACCGTGTGAGAGGAGAGACTGCTTCTCTTTTGCTCCCAGGACCCCACGCCAGCGGTGACACCAGAAACGCCGGTCATCTCTGCGGTGGTCCATGCCACCGATGAGGAGAAGCTTGCCGTCACCAACCAGAAGTGGACGTGTGTGACAGTGGATCTGGAGGCTGACAAACAGGACTACCCGCAGCCCTCGGACCTGTCCACCTTCGTCAATGACACCAAATTCAACTCACCCACGGAGGGTAAGCACCTTGGTGGCCAGCCAGACCCCCACCCTGCCTTGGAGATCACTGCCCCTGGGGAGCACAAGGCCAGGAAAGAAACTTCCAAGCCAGGTTGCTTTGCCATCCGGGCACTCCAAGCTAAGGCTGCATTTTAAGACAGCCTAAGGCTTGAACCCAGCTATACCCCAACCCCGAGATGTCAGCTGAGAGCCAGTCAGCTCAGGGCCCCCCGCCTGTCCCCCCCAATTCCCACCCTGAGCTCACTCTGTGGCTTACGGGCCTGGGTGATTTTGAAACACACACCCAGCTGCAAGCAGCACCATTCAAGCCAAATACTCTGTGTGGGTCAACCCCTGCCCAGGCCTGGGGTCTCCCGGGGCCACCACTGTGCATCATCCCCACAGGACATTCCTCAGTGGGGCCATGCCTTCCACTCAAGCTCCCAGACCAGACGGTTCACTCCAGGCTTGCCAATGAGAGGACCTTTTTCCTGAACAGGCCCCCAGGCATGTTGCTTTTCTCATCAAGATCTTCTTTCCTCCTACACATAGTTTCGCTTTCAGCTTTCTGCCTGATCCTTTGGCTTGAAAAATTCATCTATCTTAAGTCAACACAACATGATTGGTGAATCAAGATTTTTTTTTTTTTTTTTGGTAAACTGCTTATTCCATGAACACTGATTTTTCTGAAATCTTTGTATTGGCTCCCACACGTTCCTTTCTCGTCAGGAAAGCTGCTGAGGCCTGAAACCATCTCCTGGTCTGATGGTGCTCTTTCTTGCTCCTGCCCCTCTGTGAGCTTCCCTCCAGCACTCGGGACTGTTGTGATGGTTCTCAGTCTCCAAGATCTTAATATCCAAGCATTCAAAAAAAATATGCGTAGAAATCAATATGAGGGCCGTCGCATGTGAAAATCTTACCTGTACTCCTTGTCTGCTGCTAAGGAACCACCACCTCCATTAAGCAGCCTCTGGCTCCCTCCGGGCTGGCGGTGGTATCACCCAGAGCGGGTAGTTTGGGTAGCTTGGATTGCTTGCTCTGCACGCTCTTCCGTGACCTGGCCACTCGGCAGCTTGCTTTGTGCCCATCAAGTCTCTGAACGACACGAGTGAGGTCCATTTCGTGTGTTGGGGGGGGGGTTGGATGCGTACCCTCTTACCACACTACTTCTCTATGCTTTGAAGATGGAAAGACCCTCTAAGTTACGTGTACTTGGGTGTTTTGGCATTGTGTGTTCTGCGGAACAGAGCCTTTTGGTAGGCTGTCTGGTTGGCCCTCAGATTGGGGTTTGGGAGGCTTGATAGTGACCATGTCACTGCAGCCTGACCCTGGGCGCCCTGGGACCTGGCCTCCGACCCTCTTCAGGACTTTCCTCTGCACACATACCTGGGCCACGAGCCCCACTGGATGGAACCACTTTGCCTCGTGCGTGCCCCCCCCCTTGGCTGCCTCTGTAGTGCCCCATGCCCTGTCTCCCACGTTTGGTCCGGGCCGTTCTGAGGTCACTTAATGCTGTAATGATGATGACGTGCATTTTTTTTAAAGATTTTTATTTGACAGCGAGTGCACAAGCAGGGGAAGTGGCAGACAGAGGGTGACGGAGAGGTAGGCTCCCCGCTGAGCAGGGAGCCTGATGCGGGGCTCCATCCCATGACCCTGGAATCGTTACCTGAGCCAAAGGCAGACGCCTAACTGACTGAGCCATCCCTGCACCCCAATACATGCATTTTTTTTTTTTTAAGATTTTTTAATTTTTTTTTATGCATGAGAGACAGAGCGAGAGAGAAAGGCAGAGGGAGAAGCAGGCTCCCAAGGAGCAGGGAGCCCGATGCGGGACTCGATCCCAGGACCCTGAGATCATGACCTGAGCCAAAGGCAGACGCTCAACCATCTGAGCCACCCAGGCGCCCCCCAATACATGCATTTTTAATAGAAAATATAAAAATCCTAATAGTACCTGTTAAGCCAGTAGGTATCCCAATCCATGCTAGCATGTTTGTTCATCTTTGACGTGGAACCAAAACAGACACCTCACTAGCTCAGGGACATATTTGATCATTGCTTATTTTCTGCAAAAATTCAACAAAGAGGTAAATCTGTACATTTAAAACAAAGCTCTATGAAACCTGCCTCCTTAGAAAATAATCGGGAAGATTTGGGAAATCCCGACTAAAATTACAACTGGCGGGCAGTCGGAAATCCGTCATCTGTACGTATAAGGGACAGTTAGAGTTTCAGGAGGTGCCGACCCTGCATTCACCTTTGTAATACAGCCTGCTTCCCTCCAGCAGGTGGATGTAGAAACTGGATGCCCAGCCCCCCTTTCGGATCGTCCTTCCTGTTAACTTACTGAGGTCAAGTCCAGACACGCCCCTGGGGTGCTGATGTCATCAACAGAAAGAATCTGGCCAGAGCTGTGGCCGTGATTAAAGCTTTATTACAGGGAAGTCACAGATCACAGGGAATGAGATTTGGGGTTAGAAATAATGAGCCCCTGACCAGGTATTTACTACAAGGCCAATTCTCTAAGTGACAGTAGTTACGAGCTGTCACTGGTGCACACTCTGAGCCCCACTGAGGCTCTCGTACACGTGGTTTCATTTCGTTCTCTCAGTTCTAGAGAGTGGATTTCTGCTCCTCCTCACCTAGGAGCAGGAAAGCATAGGCTTTGCGCTGTTATGACTTGCTGAGCGATGTGGGGCTAGCCCCCGTAGATCAGGGCTGCCTGACTCTGAAGCATCCTGCTCTTACCCACCATGCTCCTGTACGTGAGCATCCAGTAGGCTTCCTCTCGTCGTCTCTAGAAAGAGGGTGTTGAACTCAGCGGTGCTTCCCTACCTGGGTCCACAGGAGCTTCATGTGCTGTCTGAATAGTCTGAGAAACCTGGATGGAACTAGTTTAGAAAGATGCCCAGCAAATTAAAATGACGTGTCTGGGCAGTAATGACATCAGCTCACGGTGGCGACAATGATCATCCCCCACTGATTTAAAAAGTCAGATTGGCAGGGCGCCTGGGTGGCTCAGTTGGTTAAGCGACTGCCTTCGGCTCAGGTCGTGATCCTGGAGTCCCGCATCGGGCTCCCTGCTCGGTGGGGAGTCTGCTCCTCCCTCTGACCCTCCTTCCTCTCATGCTCTGTGTCTCTCATTCTCTCTTTCTCAAATAAATAAATAAAATCTTTAAAAAATAAATAAAAAGTCAGATTGGCAATTATAAATGTTTTTCTTCGAACACTTGCTTAGTAAATGGCCTCTTCTGGTGCAATCTTTGGAAACATAGTGGGAAAAAAACCTAGTCCGTGTGGTCCGTAGGGATGCAAAGATTAGGAGCCTCCAAAGCCTCTCCCAGGTCGAGTCCAAGAGACCCAAGGAGAGCACTGTTTTAGATTCACGAGTCTGGGTGGGCCTTTGAGGGTCACCCAGCAACCCTGTCTCCCTAACATGCAGTGACATCCACCCCCACCTTCCCGCTTCCAACCGTGGGGAAGGTGTCCCCGTCAGGAACCTAACTTCTTCTGTGGTGGACACGATTGCTGTCACACTACAGACATTCAGAAGAGTGACAGTGAGGACGTTGGGAACAGTGTCCTTGTCCCCTAACAAAAGGTCTCTTCTCTCATCGCTTATGTTAAAAGTTTCAGAAATACTAGCCATGAGCAGTTATAATATACCTGGTCACAATCCCTTAGGTTTGTATAGCACGTGGTAGGGCTCTTACATGACATCATTAACTTTTTTGCAAAATGTAGGTACTTTGAGCTGCATTGTACAGGTTAGTCAGTAGGCAGGGGAAGTCAGGGAGTTGGCCCCCCCGACCTGGGCATGACCATCTGGACTCAACTTCATCCTCCAGCTTCTGCCCAGTTCCCAGCCAAGCTCTGGCAGTCGGATTCAGAGAACAGCCACCGGGCCCTCTCATGGTGTGTTGACCAGCATGAAATGATTACCGGAAGCAGCCCTCAAAGATGACAGGACCCATTAAAAATACCTTCGGGGGGCGCCTGGGTGGCTCAGTTGTTAAGCGTCTGCCTTCGGCTCAGGTCATGATCCCGGGGTCCTGGGATCGAGCCCTGCATCTGGCTCCCTGCTCAGCGGGGAGCCTGCTTCTCCCTCTCCCTGCCGCTCCCCCTGCTTGTGCTCTCTCCCTCTCTCTCTGTCAAATAAATGAATAAAATCTTAAAAAAAAAAAAACAAAAACCTTTGGGCCTCTACAGTGTGAGGCAGCACATGCCTTAGCAAGAGGCCTCTTCTCTTGGAGGTAAAGGTGTTGGGCCACATGGTGTAAATGGCATCACCCTTCCCAGCCCCCCGGCTGCGTGTGGCCACAGCCGAAGCCGGACATGGCTCCCCCTCCAAGCCCACCACCCTTTGAGGCTTAGCATTGAAAGCAGATGAGTGAAATTTTGAAAACAACGTTCAGGAAGATGTTCGCTCAAAGCACAGGAGATGATGACAAGAAGAGGGTTTGTTTTTCTTCACATCTTTTCCACGCCTTTTTTTTTTTTTTTAAAGATTTTATTCGTTTATTTGAGAGAGAGAGCATGAGTGGGTCGGGGGGGAGGGGCAGAGGGAGAGGGAGAAGCAGAGCGGCCCAACGTGGGGCTCGATCCCAGGACCCTGGGCTCATGACCTGAGCCGAAGGCAGACACTTAACCGACTGAGCCCCCCAGGTGCCCCTGGGCCATTTTGTAAATTATACATGAGAACCCCAAATGGCTACGACTGGCAGTTTCAGGCCATGTGCTGAAGGAACACCTCCCGGCATCACCAGGGATTGAAGCTCCTGTGTAGAGTGCGGGTCTCCTGTAACCACACGCTACGATGCATACATTCCTCAGGGCGGGGGGTCAGATAATCCCCAACTGTTGTACTGTCATCTGCTGCCTCTGAAGGGCGGGATGGGGGGCACCGGGCAGTGGGAAGGGAGACCCCATCGGCAGGTGGGAAAGAAGGCAGATAAGTGAGCTCGGTGACCTGAAACTCACCCTGATCAGCTGCCAGGGGACCAGCTAAGGTTCCAGGCGGGATGCTTGATCGAGCCGCGCTGGTCACCAGAGCTGGGCGGGGACCCAGGGCCTCAGTCCCTGGAAATATCTCTGTGGTGGCTCTTAGCCTGTTTGGTGCATCCTGGCTGCTCTATGCCATTGTGGGTGTGCTGAAGGGTTTCCGTTAAATAATTTAGGGTTAAATAATGCCTTGGTGCTAATAATGATAACCTTGGAGAAGGAGGCAACGGATACACTGTTCTCTTCTCAACTTAAAACAGTCTTTAATAGGACAATAAAATAATAGTCCCGAGGTCCTACATCTGGACAGTGAGAGATCTGGAGGTGGCTCTAGAAATCGCCTTGTCCTTCACCATCCCTACCTTACCTCTCCTTCGAAAGATGAGGAAGACAGGAAGTCTTCATAAACAAATACCTGTACGTCCTAAGAAAGGATGCCCATTCCAGTCCCACACGCTAAACTGCAGCCCAGTCGTGTGGGGTTGGCGTCAGTCTCTGCTCTTCCCGGGTGACGCACAAATCAGGGCGGAGGCCTGAGGGACGAATGCACAAAACCGTCTTCGAACCCCTGGGCAGGCCAAGCCCGCTGGAAGGAGGCATTGGCTTCACCAGGGAGATTCAGAGACTCCTGAAGAGTTGTCCACGTGTTTTCAGTGCTTGAGTCCATACAGCCGCACTCGTATGACCCCGCACACTTGCCAGTTTGGGGACGGTCTTCCTGAGATGTGTCATCTTAAAGCTCATATTACGGAATCATTGTTTAAGCGGCATGCAGAAATAGAGGTGCTTTAAAGCAGAACGGCTATTTCCATGTTATGTTTAAAAGAATGCAGGCATTAGGGATTGCCACGTACGCTCTTGTAGAGCTGCTTTCTGAGTGGGTCACTTGTGACCTCTTGGTTTCCTGCTCAAGTAGGAAAGAACCATCTGGTGGCTGTGGGTGTGGCTTCCTTGAGGATTTTGTTTCTGGTTTTGTTCACCACCGCATCCACCGTGCCCAGCACGTCGGGCGTGCTCGGAATCCATTCCCTAGACAGGGACTTCCGCTGAGGGGCAGAGCTGGGTGTCCTCAAGGAACCCCCCGCCCGGGGACCTGAGGGACCCAGGACTTCTTGTCTCCAGTGAGAGCCTCTCAAGTTTCCCTTCCAGTCAATTTGAAATAGGTCATTTCTCTACCTAATTGGACTCTCATAATCTTTGCATCTGAAAATCTTATTTGTGCCAGCCCTGTGGGCACTGGCAGGATTTTCGGGAAGTGGTCCAGGTGACTTGCAAAGCCTCTCAACAAGCCCAGTGCAGGAACGATGTATGTTCTTCCCTTGCCTCGGGGTAAGGCCGGGGGTTCTCGGAGAGGGACCACGGTGGGGCCAGTTCCGAATGTCGTCAGGATGTGGGAACATTCTCCGTGTTGCATGTGAGACACAGAGAAAAGCAACACTCAAAATAGACTTCTGAAAACTTGGTGCATAGCGCTCAGATCCGTTCCTGCTCAGACTTAATTCCCTTGGACTCTCAGGCGCCCAAATGGCAAGAGCCCCTTTGCCGCAAGTGGTTTGCGAGTGGTCTGAAGATGGCTGAGCTGCCCTCCCCTTCCAGCCGAATCCGAAACCTCGAGTCGTGGCTAGGCTCAGAGTTTAGAGTCTGGTTCCAGACCCCACCCTGCCTGGCCCAAACCTTTCCTTTTTTTTTTAAATTTTTTTTTTCTGGCACTAACTCTCCTTTTGTTTCTTTTGCAGAGTTGGATTACAGAAACTCCTATGAAATTGAATATATGGAGAAAATTGGCTCCTCCTTACCTGTAAGTCCTGCCTCAGACCAGCAGGGGACCTTCTTTCCCTCCTGTCTTGTGAAAATGCAGGAACCGGCCTCCTCCTGAGCTCGAGTCCCAGATCCAGGGTCCTCTGTGCCCGCAGCGCCCTGGGTGCACAGTAGGGGCGAACTGGGACTGGGGGTTGGAGGTTTGTATTCGGTCCACTTCACATGGCATTTTAAGTGAGCAAAGAGAATGCAGTTAGGCTTCCTGCATCATTACTTCCCCAGACTGAGAAAGAACTAGTCAGAGATTTCCTTAAAAAGGTGTAGCAGTGGTTTGGTGGTTCTTAAGGTGCACTATTACCTGTTTCCTTCAAATTAATTGCTTTATGTAACTGAAGATCGGCTCTTCTGGCAAGAAGTCTCTCTCCCCCACACCCGCCATCCCTTTCGCATTTAAGTGGCTGCGACGGGTAGCTGTCCGCCCTGGTGTCCTGTCTACTGCCTGAAGGGCACTTGGTTCCGAGCATGGCCTCTTGTGCAGTGCCTTTGTCCAGTGGTGCTGTCAGAGGCCCCGGGGCCCCGAGGCCCCGGAAGGGCTTGCTGTGATACTGTTGGCCCGGACCTACTGCTTGTATCTTTATCTTTCTTTGCATCATTCGTAGATGCTGGGCTTGTGGCTTCTGACCCGCAGTTAGCAGCCCATGCTGGAGGTGCTCACCACACTGGGCCATCATGCTCGTCCCCCCACCCGCCATCTGACTGTGGGCACCGCCTAGGCTGGGGGCTTGCCCACCCCTGTGTTTGTCCCCAGTGGCCGCATGGTTGCCCATCCAGAGGGGTGGCCAGTAGATGCTGGTGGACTGAACAGCGTGTAGCACCCCGACACCATTACGATCCCTCTCCCCTCGACACTGTTCCCAGCAGCACATGCTCACAACTTCCCTCCACCAACCTCTTCCCTGCCCTTTTCCTCTCCTCTCCACTGGCCAGCACTGGCTTGCTCCTCCCTTCTGGGTGGCTCGAGGAGAATGGAGGCTTTTCCCTGATGAGTTATTTGTTCTGTTGAAAAGAGCTCTGGTTTTCATTTCTATCACGTGTTCAGGCCCCCTGTAGCCGAGCTGACTTGTGCCTTTGATCCCTGCAGCAGGACGATGACGCCCCGAAGAAGCAGGCCCTGTACCTTATGTTTGACACTTCTCAGGAGAGCCCGGTCAAGTCTCCCCCGGTCCGGACGTCAGAGTCCCCGACGCCGTGTTCAGGGTACGGCTTCCATGAGGAGAGTATTTCGGGTCGGGCTCTGAGCCCCGTGGCACTGCTATCCCGGCGTGGTTTCGTTTGCATTGATGTATTCAGGGAGCCCACATCCGGGTCTCTGAGGATCCCCACAGACATACAAGCGGGGTGGGGGTGTTACCGGTAAGGCTGCCCTTTGTCCGGTTAACAGCCGAATGCGTGAGCCCCTTCGATCACCCCCCGCCGGTGCACACACAACTTTGTCTCGGGGAGGCAGCGTGCCGCGGCATTCAGACCTGGAGTCCCACTCCCACCCCTTACTGGCTGTGTGACCTGATGCAGCCTACCTGACCCTCCTGTGCTGCCGTCTCCTCGTGGGAAAAATGAGGGTAGTCATAAAACGGACCCTGTAGGAATTTCATGAGGATTAAATGAGGCTCTCAGTCTTCCAGGCACCCCCCAACTGTGCAGTGGGCCTGGGGGTGCCTGCCCTCCAAAGCCACCGGGAGGATGAAACGGAGAGGCTGTAAGGCAAGCGAAGTGCTGGGTAGACGTTCACGGTTAACGTGGCTGTGAATCAGCACTAGTGAGGGTCCTCTTCTGAGCCGTGTGGTGCTGGATGGGGTAAGGGAGGGGCCCCACTCTGGGGCTGGGACCCTCCCATCCCCTCACCTGCCCCTTTCTCTGAGTAGGAGGGAAAGCTCTTGCTTTGATTTCCCGAACTGACTTCCGAATCCACCCAGGGTATTGAGAATGATGGTGGTGATGTTGCAGCAATAGTCATGGTGACAGGGACCGTGTCAGGTGCCTCACATGCGGGCAGTATCTCCCTTGACCTTCACCGAGCACTGTCTCATCTCCTGTCCTACGGAAAAAGAAGCTGAGATGCAGGACACAGTCACTTCCCCCCGGGTGCACGCCGAGGGATGGACAGTCTGCTTAACTCCAGCTTGTGCCCGTAGCCGATAGCTTCTGTGCTCCTGACCCTCCCTTGTCAGCAGGCCCTGGGCTGGGGCTGGACCACCCTCTCCCTCAGGCTGTCCAGCCTTCAGGCTCCCTGGCCACCCAACACCCGGCCCAGTTTCCCTCTGGGAACGCAGCTCTGGAAGTGCAGGATCCCTTGGGATGGTGATTGCGTCGGGGCATCCTGGTCAATTTCAGTGGGATTTCCAGCGAGACGAGTAAAGGTGCTCTTTGCTTCCTCAGGTCGAGTTTTGAGGAAACTGAAGCCCTTGTAAACGCTGGGGCAAAGATCCAGCATCCTGTCACACGAGGACTGGCTCCCAACCAAGAGCCACATTTGCAGGTGCCAGAGAAATCCTCCCAGAAGGAGCTGGAGGTCATGACCTTGGGCACTGCTTCAGACGCGATTGAAATTGTGAGTGGGGTTGGAGGGGCCCAAGATTACTGGGGCTGAGGCCTGGGCCACCTGGGTCCCATCACCTAAGGGTCCAGCCCTTCAGAGTAATCTCACCCAGCCCCTGGCGTGGGGCCCCGCCCAGTGCCTGGACCACAGAAGCCAGCCTCGGAGACCCCACACCCTAGCCATGAGAGAAAAGCTCTTCATCTTCACCAGTGTGGTTTGGAGTTCTTACCTCACTGCTTTATTTGCCTTCGGGGTTCTTGATTTTCCACTTCAGTCCCTTGGGGCTGCACTGTTGCTTTGGAGGTGACATCAGTCTGTACCCTGCTTCTCCATACTCTAGGTCAGGGGGCAGAGAATGGTAGGGCAGGGGACACTCCTTTTGGGAAACACTTGGTTTTCCTGGGCGTTGGTGATGAGAAGTCCCTCCTGTTTACAGACCTATTTACATCCCTCCCCTCCCAACCCCTCTGGAGCCTTGCAGAGCAGATAGACCCCCTGAACATCTAAAATGGGCCATCCTTCTAGGTGAATTTTTATTTTTCTCTCTTTTACCTCCTTCCCAGCAGTCCCCAAGAGGGTTTGAAGCCATTGACTTAGTTACTTTTAGTGGTACTTTTGTTGTTCTATATTAGTAGACCATTTATTTCTCATGCATCAGATATTTATTGAGCACCTACTCTGTGGCAGTTAGATATTGGGAAAATATTAGTAAGCAAGAAGAAAGTAGATGTGACTCAGTCTCTCAAATACACAACTATGGAAGAACTCGTGCATGACCCAACTTCTATAGAGTTGGCTTCTGACCTTGGAGTCTTCCCAGTCTACCCGGAAACACTTTTTCATTTGAAATCGTCTTTCTGTTATTTAGAAAATGACCTTTATCAAAACCTTTGACACATATACTTAGAGGTGTTTTCTTGATGAGTTATATTATGTTTGGAAAACCCATCAACTGCCTTGTCTCCCCCACTGAGCTTTTCAAATACATAAGTAAATGGTAACTTTGCTCCCACCGATTGGTTAGGGAGTGGGGGTGGCGTGGGGG